GTTTAGGACAGGACGTGGAGGAGAGCCCCAGACCCGCTCAGAACACGGGCACGAGGCTTGGGGGCAGCAGTGGTTTGCCGTTTAGGACAGGACGTGGAGGAGAGCCCCAGACCCGCTCAGAACACGGGCACGAGGCTTGGGGGCAGCAGTGGTTTGCCGTTTAGGACAGGACGTGGAGGAGAGCCCCAGACCCGCTCAGAACACAGGGAGCACGTGGTTTGCGGATCACCCATCCTGCAAACAAAGTGTGGGGGGCTGGGCAGGACCACCCCGTCCTGGTTGAAGGTACCTGCGGGCAGCCTGAGGCTTTCTGGTGCTGTGGCCATGCTCCCTAAGAAAGCGAAGCCTCCTGCCACTCTGCCATTAACTGTCCTCACTCCCGGGCATCTGCCTTTGTCTTGGCCCAAGCCTGATTCAGCCGGGGTCGGGCAGCTCTGATCTATGGGCAGCCCCTTGGCGCCAGGAAAGTGTTTCCTGTTGGCTGTTCAGCACAGCGGGGTAGACGTCTGCCGGCTCTCGTGGTCAAAGCTCTTTCTCTCGCCTGGACCGTTGGGGTTAGGCGAGGGAACCCAAGGACAGTCCAGAGAGCTTCCCGCTCCGGCCACAGCCCCACAGAAAAGCAGGCCTGCGCCCTACTGCTTTGGAAGTGCAGCGTGCTACTTCCGGAGACGAGAGACTTTGTTTTCCCAGGAGGCAGGGTATGCGCCGCCCAGCCCCCTTTGGCTCTGGGGCTGGCACAAAGTGGAGGCCGCTTTGTGTAAATAAATAAAGAAATGAATTCTCGTGTTCCTGGTCAGATCCTCTAATTCTCCTGGGATCTCTTGAGTCTGCTTCTCCCGTCACCCTCTCGGGCCCCTGTCCAGCCGTCCGATCCACCCCTGCTCTGGTGCGGATCTGGCTGCAGAACGTGCATGGGCGGGGGGGGGGCAGTACAGTGCTCTAGTTCGCACACCAGGCCAGGCGGGTGCAGTTCACCGGGTGGCTGCAGAAGCGGGACTCTGTTTCCTCCTTAACGTCACATGAAACTGCTTGTCGCCCAGCCTCCCGTAACTCCCGTGTTTCCCTCTGCCCGGGGGGGTTGTGTATGGCGCATGGCATACGGGCACTTCCTGTGAGAACCCCCAGCCAGGCGGCTGCTGCCTCCCCCTTGGTACGTTTTTGCGGTGCTGCGTGCGTCTGTGGACCCTGGCCTTGTGCTCGGCCGGCCGAGCTAGGTGCACTCAGTGACTTGTTCCGGCTGCCTCTTCTGGTGAAGGGTTGGCTGCCCAGAGCTGCCGTGCCCTGCAGAACCCTCCCTTCTCTCGGGAGTCGGGGCACTTTTGAAGTGTTGGCAGCCAGGGAGTGGAGGTGTTGGTGTTGGGCCCTTAGCTGGACGGGTGATTGGTAGACAGCCTGGAGCGCCTTTTGTTTCCCTACGGTGCAAATGGGCTGGTCCCCCCCAGCTAAGGAAGCAAGCGGGAGCCGCACTGGTTGCTC